AACCAATTGACCTCCATTAATACAAGATATACAAAGGAACAACAACACAAAAATACACTAGGAAGTACTGCTGATGAAATATCTTAAAGAATAGGAGCATATCAACGGGATCACTGTTTTATTTTTCTTTTCCATTTCCTTTTTAATTTACTCACTCACTCACTCACTCACTCACTCACTATCACCCAGTGAATGCTGACTCATAGATACCCTATAGTGCAGGGTCGAACTGTCCCTGTTGGTTTCTGGGAGAAGAAAGCCTTTATGTTTGGAGTAATAATACATATCATGCTGACTTGTTGGGCAAAATAAAGTTAAAGAATCATTAAAATTTTTAAGTATCACCTATAACTGAATAAGCATGAATTGTTAGCTATCTAACACCATGCCTTGATTTGAAAGCAGATTCATTCATATTTAAATTTTAAAAATCTAAGTGAGTCAAAGAAGTTTGGTGTTTTAGAGAAAGGGTTCCTGGTTAAACTGGGGCAATCAAAACTTTCATAGAGACATTGCATGTTTGCAAACTTATTTATATGTTCTGGAAAATCACGGACAAGGCTGGATAAGATCCAAAACACATCATTCCCACCCCCACCTGCATTGGAGCAACTAATGAGAAAGCAAAGAAAGTCTTCAACGTACAGAAAAAACAAGAAAGCATTATTCTAATATACTAGTATCTAAGATACTAGGGTTGAACCAGCAATTTTCCCAATATGGATGTATTTGTTAATCCTTGGTGGCCTAAAGACAAGATTTAAAGAACATACGTGTGGGAGGTAGGAGAAAAAAGTAGTGTGTGGTTTATTAGAGAAAATATCACACCCCACACAAAACAAGGTCTCACAATGAATGACACTCAGAAATTTACCAGAAAAACAGCTACTTTACAGCACAAGTCAAAGGCATGTGCACCTCCCTCAGGCTTTCATTGGGAAGAGCAGAAAAACGAAGAAATATTCCTTTGATATGTCTTAGCTTCAAGCGCAAACACTTGTAGATATGAAATCTAAACCTTATCTCTGTTTTGGTCACAAGGCATCTCAAGGAAAAAAATGTTTTGAAGGCGATTCTGGGTCAATATTAAGGGGCTGGAATGAAAATATTTTAACCTCATCTTTCAACCGGTCTTGCATTATGTTAGTAGTTGAAGAGAAAGGGTTATTGAAGAAAAGTAACTCCTGCTAAGGTGCATAAAAGTGAAAGTACAGTGGACTCATTTCAGAAATACAGGTGAGCTTTTATACACTAAGTTAGGCTTGAATAAAGAACATTTCAGAAGCAGATCTTTCTTATTTCCTCATCTTCTTTTAGAGGACCACTCGTGTAAAGCATTCTCCCTGAGGGCATTGCTTGAACATGCACGTTCTTTTCTTTTTGTCTCCCGCTTACTCAGAGTGGTTGAATTAATCCTTCATTGAGACCCTCTGTTCCTTTACCAAATAAAACTTGTTAACTCATCTCTCCCCTTTGAGCAAGCACTCAGTATGGGATGGTGATCACATCACCTGCAATAACGCAGAGCTTTTTCTGCAAGGACTTGAGTGGCTCTGGGCTAGAGGTTTAGATTTAAGTTCCTTCATCTCAGGGCTGAAAATCTCATCTCCAGGGTGAGTAGATTTTTACTGCCATTGTGCCATCAGAAAAGACCAAACTGAAGGAATAATTCAGTGAGGCTCAAGCAAAGATCACTGCAAAACATTCAAGATAACCATGATGGGTTATTAAAATTATTTTAAAGATTTTGATAGAACAAAGACTCAGTTTCCTTAGAAAACATTCTACACCTACTAAAGGGGTTTGAGTCTGGTGATAAACATTAGAAAAACATTTTAGATAGCATTTAATTAATCTTATAGTGATTAGTAAGGAGCCCTGCTGGGTTATGCATTGGGCTACTAACTGCAAGTTCAAGTTTGAATCTACCAGCTGTTCCAGCTGAGACTTTTTATTCCTATAAATATTTAAAGCCTTTGGAAATGCAACGGGACAGATTTACTCTGTACTATAGTTGCTGGGAAAATCATCAAAGAAACTGGATTTTATGAAGAAGAATGTGGTATCAGGATTGGAGCAAGGCTTATTAACCACCTGATATATGTATGCGACACACTGCTTGCTGAAAGTGAGGAAGACTTGAAACACTAGCTTTAAGTGCTTGATGAGGATCAAGAATGGCACCCTTCATTATGCATTACTACTTAATGTAAACAGAGCAAAAATCCTCACAACTGGCCCAGTAGGTAACATTATGGTAAATGGAGAAAAGATTGAAGTTGTTAAGGATTTCCTCTGGCTTGGATCCACAATCAATATTCATGGAAGCGGCAGTCAAGAGATCAAATGAGACATTGCATTAGGTAAATTTGCTGCACAAGACCCCTTTAGAGTGTCGAAAACCAAGGATGTTACTTACTTTGAGGATTAAAGTACACCTGGCCCAAGTCATAGTTTCATCACCTCAAATACTTTTGAACATTGGGCAGTGAAGGTAAGACAGGGTATCAACTGCCCCTGGGAGTTTCTGAAATGGTAACTCTTAATTAGAGTAGAAAACCATGCCTTTCTCTTGCAAAAGTGCTGGTGGTTTTGAACTCCTGACTGTGTAGTACAAAAAAAAATAATTCAGAGCTGAGAGTATAATGAGAAGATTCAATACACATTTGATTGGGATTCCAGAAAGAGATATGTAAGGGGGGAAAATGAAGTATGTTAATGATGATGAATGTTATCTTCAGTTTTTTTCTCTCAAGTTTTTACCTCCAGTATGTCCCTTTGTGGGCAACTCCTCAAGAATTGGTGATAATTATTTTTTTCCTGCAGTAGTTTACCCCCCCCCCCAAATATCTTACACAATGCAGTGTTTCCATTCACATACAATTCTGTTGTTCAGTCCCATCCAGGGGGTTATATAGTCATCATTGCTTTTAGCTTCCTCCCTCTCCCTCCACCCTCATCTCTTCCCATACCTTCAGGGAAACATTATTCTTGTTACATTTTCTGAAGGGTTATCTATCTTGGCTTTCATGAACTGAACAGTCTTAAATATATAAATTCGCATATGGAAATCTAACATGATTAATGAGGTAAAACAAAGAAAGGTAAAAACCATAATAGTAAGGGGAGGAAATATTAAAGAACTAGACAATAGCTATGTGATTCATCAGTGCTATACCACACCCTGGAGTTTTTCATCCCTTCTGTGTGGCCCTTCTGAGAGGGACTGTCCAATTATCTTAAGGTGGGTTTTGGGTCTCCCTTGGGTTCCTGGGAGGTAGAGTGGGGAGGGAGGAGGAAAAAAGACAGCTGATATCAAGGAGTTCAAGAAGAGAGAAAATGTTTTGAAACTGATTGTGGTAGCGATTATACACTACTGCTTGATGTGATTGAACTATGGAATGTCATGTTATATGTAAGAGCTCCCAAAAAGATGATTAAAAATTTTTAAATGGACTATAAATACATTGACAATCAATCTGCTACCACTCTTCTTATATATGAATATTAGATATCCCAATTTTCTTTTCTGGTTAATTCCTTAATTCCCTCCGATCTAAAAGCAGGGTATCTGAAAGCAAAAACTAATCTGATTTGGGAAATGACTTTTGGCTTTCTTTTCCTGGGGATGACCTTTCGGAACAAAGTGACTAAAAACTGAACAGGGAAAAGGAATATATTCTGAGCGTCTAATGCTGGCAATATTTGTTCTTCATAGAAATATTTTATCTAATTAATTCCAGTCTTTCTCTCCAAAAGTCTTAAAAATGTCTACTATCCTATACATAATTCCTGTGGTATATTTGACAGCTGTTTCCTATATTTCAAGTATTCCATATATTTTCTCTTCTAATTTGAGTTCATCTCTATAAACATGTCTTTTTCTTTGGGATAGTTTAATAACATCCTAGAGAAAATGATTCTTGTAACCTCTTGAAGTGAATCCATAGTTCTTGATGCAAAACTATTTTTTGGGTAGGTTACCATTCGTTTGAAGACTTATTTTTTTATTTCTCTGGACTTATTCAAGTGGAAATGAGAGGAAAAAAATCCCCTTAACATTCTGCCCAACTTTCCCAATCCGGTGCCTATTTCCTAAGCCCAGAACTTACAAAAGTCCAAGTCAGTATTACCTGCACTAGGAGTCTGCAACGTGGAAGCACAAAAAAGCTTAGGTGACTTAAAAAATCCAAAAACACTCTATGCAAAGGTGGTAATAGTTCTATTTTACTAGATAGAGGAACCTGGGTTTTCACCTATTTTCCAAGTCTCAAAGAAGATAAACAAGGAATGCCCTGGATGATTTAACACTAGTCTTCCTGGTTTGAAGAAAGGAAACTGCACTAGAGCGGCAGTAGTAGGGGAGTTTTCTAACTCTCTTCATTTCTCAGGAGGCTTCCTAACATTGCTAATCCCGTGATGTCACATCCATTTTCAAGCTACTGCTTCTGGCTGACTCCTCCCACGTGCCTGCTACATTTCTCCAGGTCTTATAAAATCAGGAAGGCAGAATTGTCAAGAGTCCTTCATGTTATAGATTAATTAAAGGAAATTTTTTAATATAATGCTTACTTCAGGTTACTTATTATGTATATTCAGAACTTCTCCGATCATGGAGTTAATAGTCTAGAGTCTTCAGTTTCATCTTATAAAGAGATGATGTTATTGTCACAATTCGATGGCTATCCAAAGGCTTACATATTTGCAGAATCTGACATGGGAAAACATGAAATAAAGACATTTTAGGAGAAATTTGACTAACGATGTCCACTGAATATTGTTTGTCCCCAAAGAATGATAATATATGTTCATTTTTGCAAGAGGGGTTTTCAGTTAAGGTTGATGATTTATCTCTGAACTCAATGTTGTTCATTGAATGTTGCAAAATTTTCCAGAAGCAACATTATTTATTCCAGAATGCCAAATTTATTCCAGAATAAAATACTTTCCTTTTTTCCAGAATAAAGCCTTTTTTTCTCTTTCTTTTTTTCTGCCTGCAGATGGCAACAAGCAGGTCCATGGGACAGAATGGGAACTACTCTTCTGTGACCATGTTTATTCTCCTGGGTCTCTCAGATGACAAGGAGCTGCAGCTCATCCTCTTTCCAGTATTCCTAGGGATCTACCTTGTGACCTTTACCTTGAACCTGGCCCTCATTCTCCTAATCAGGATGGACTCCCACCTGCACACGCCCATGTACTTTTTTCTCAGTTTCCTCTCATTTATTGACATTTGTTCTTCTACCATCTTCATCCCAAGGGTGCTTTCAGACTTCCTAAAAAAGGAAAAAATGATCCCCTTTGTTGCCTGTGCCAGTCAGTATTTTGCTGCAACCTGGATGGGTCTGACTGAGTGCTGTCTGTTGGCTGCCATGGCCTATGATCGATATGTAGCCATTGGCCACCCTCTGCAGTACTCAACCATCATGGCTCCTCAGCTCTGTGGGAAGATGGTTGCTGGAGCCTATGTAAGTGGTTTCCTCAGTAGTTTTTCTCAAACAGTTGTTTGCTTTCAGCTTTCCTACTGTGGGCCAAATATCATTGAGCATTTCTTCTGTGACTTGCCTCAAATTATTCCCTTGTCTTGCTCCAATCCTTTCATCTGCCAAATGATTCTCCTTTTGGTAGAGATTTTGGTTGGGTTTGGGCCTTTGTTTATTATCCTTTCTTCCTATGGTTTCATTGCAGCTTCAGTTTTGAAAATCTCCTCAGCCAAAGCTAGTGCCAAAGCCTTCAATACCTGTGCTTCCCACTTGGCAGCGGTAATCATCTTATTTGGCACGGCTTTTGCAGTGTACTTATGCCCCAAATCTAGCCAATCCACCAAGAAGGACAAGGTGATATCAGTGTTCTATGCCATCATCATTCCCATGCTAAACCCTCTGATCTACAGTCTGAGGAACAAGGAGATCAAAGCAGCCCTTGAGAGGCTGAGAAAGAGAACAACAGGCTTCCCTCAGGTAGAATAATATTTGAATAACTATTACTATTCCTATAATAAAAATAATTTATAAATTATCAAGGGTCCATGAGGTAGGAGGAGCGAGGCGGGAGGGGAAAATGAGGAACTGGGCTCTAGCAGAAGGCAAATGATTTGAGAACGATGATGGCAACAAATGTGCTTGACAAATTGGTTGTATGTATGGATTTTGGAAAGAGTTGTATGAGCCCCCAGTAAAACGATTTAAAAAAAGAGAGAGAGGTAGAAACACTTGAGTGATCTTAAGCAGGCTACATGAATAATTACACAGTGCGAAATGTGGCTCCTTCCATTTTTGGTGCCATCATGCTTTGTTGTCACTGGCTAAGAATCTGAGGTAGTGACTGCAAATACAGTTAAAAAAACAGTTTTCATAATTAGAATTGAGGTAGAAAACATCCAAAAATATGACTGTGGTACTGGTAGACAGGATGGTATAGAAATGATAAGAATCCGGAAAACTACCAGCACGTTTCCTTCTTCATCAAGTTTGTACATTTTACCTTTATCACTACAATATTTATTCACATTTCAATAAAAATAAAATAAAATATGTGAAGATATATGAACAAATAATATTTATAGGAACACATTAATAGTTTTGGTACAAAAGATGAGAAAAGGGAAAAAGAAAAGGAAAGAGATTGAGATTTGATGGATTTACTTCTTAGGAATCCTGTTTCTTTATTTTACCTCTCAATCAAATGGAAGCTGAGATTATGAAAAAGATAGAGAAGATATGTGATGGATAGGAGAGAGGGGGACCATTCTACATCAAGGATTGGGGAGATTACTGGATTCTTAAAAGATAAAATCCAACAGTTTCTGTACATAGGTGGTTTGAAGCATGCACGATGGTAGCGCCCTGGATAGTGTGCAAAACCATCACAGAGGCTGAGTTTCTTGGTGTCCAGGAAAGCAAGTCTTGAGTCTCAGAAAGCTGAAACTGATTCTAGGGTCTTAGGTTTGCCAAGAGAATATCAAATTCACCAGATTCACCATAGGTACTCGGAGTTTGGGTCATAATAAAATATTGATAACATTGCAAGCAATGGAATTCCAGAACTCCTCCTTGCACACATGCAGAACAAAGAGGCCATAATCAGAGCAGAACAAAAGACTACCATATGCTTTAAGACAAGGCAAGGTGAGCATCAGAGTATATTTCATTCATACCTATTCAATCGGTATGCCGAGCAAATAATATAAGCTGAATTACATGAAGAAGAATATGATAGCAATATTAGAGGAAGATTTATTAACAATCTGCAATACACAGATCACACCACCTTGCTTCCTCAAAGGGAGAAAGACTTGAAGTACTTAGTGATGAAGATCAAAGACTACAGCCTTCAGAATGGATCACACCTTAGCATAAAA